TCCCTCCGTGCACTGTGTTCTGGGGACCCTGCTGAGCAATATGCCATGGCCTGCCTGCAAAAGCCAGAGATCATGATCTCCGACCTTACCCCTCTTTTTGACATGCTCCACTCCGAACAAGCCGCGCGGGGATCCGGCTCTGACCGCGACTTCTCTTGGACGTCGGGTGCATACGCTCAAGGAGGGCTTGCAGGGGTCCGCAGACACACTAAGGAATTCCCGCTAACCAGCCGGCTTTTGTGCAGATTTGTTTCCGAACGTGCACCAGGACACCTTTTCTCCTGTGTACTCCTTGGTAGAGATTTGCAAGGGCCACCGCATGTTGACAAAAACAACCAAAAGGGTATTCCAAATTGCATCCTCAAACTAAGCGACTTTGAGGGAGGTGGCCTCTGGCTGCAGAATTCGTCTGGTGAGACGATGTGTCCCCATTCAAACTCACCACAGAACTGGGGTAACGTGATCGACTTTCAGAACGGACGAATCATTTTTGACCCACATGCACTCCACTGTGCCATGCCCTGGACGGGTTTGCATCGCGACATCCTTGTGGCGTTCCACCCCAGGAATGTGTCAAAGCTCTCGACTAGCCAGCTCGAGGAGCTAACAGATGTGGGTTTCCCCTTGGCTTCCGCCAGCCACATTGCAGCTGCCGAACGCCTGGACAGCGTGCCCCCTTCCTCACCGGCAGGGCCCGAGGAAGACGCCCCATCTAAGTTAGACCCTGGCCTTTCCCATAGGACAGTAGTAGGCATACCCTGGCAGCCTGACGAGTTCATCCAACGTGCAGCCTGTGCAGTGCACCCACGTCACATGCTGAGTGGCTTGCCAGAACCCTTGCTGTGCACCTTGAATGCTTTGGCTTCGAACACCCCAGAGTGGATTGGGCGCACTCGCACTGAGGAGATGCGCAAGTGGATCAGTCGTGCAAGGGACCTAGAGGGCCAAGAGGCCGAGCTGAAAGAGACGATGAAGCCAAACTGCCGTGCTATCCTCAAGAGCAAACGGCTTCTTGTCTTTGAAGAGATGCTTCAAGCTTCGGGACATGAAGACGTAGCAATCGCCAGGGAAATGCGGTCAGGGTTCCAGCTAGGAGGAGCCATACCTAGGAGCGAAGCTTTCCGAGTGAGACGCCATTCCGCTTCCGTGACAATGGCAGACCTGCACCACCATGCGTCATCTCTGCGTCAGAGTATTCTGGGCTCGACCAAGAGCTCTGGAGACGAAACTCTGGACCGTGAGACCTATGAAGCAACGGTCCAAGAGGTGGCAAGAGGCTGGTTGGAAGGTCCGCTTCCCCTAAGCAGCCTTAGCGAAACTTCCCTGGTCACACGCCGCTTTGGAGTCATGCAGAAGGGGCAAATACGTCCTATCGACAACTACCTGGAGAGTGGAGTCAACAGCACTGCCAGCTCGGTCGATACGATCATTGTGCACACCGCAGACTGCATCGCCGCGGGACTGGGCCACAGGATGAGCCAGGACAAATCCTGCCGTACGCACCAGCTGCAGGTCCGATCATGGGATTTGCACAAAGCATATAAAAACCTGCCCCTAGCAGATGAAGTACTTGATGACTCCTTCCTGTGCGTGTACAACCCGGCGACGCAGGCAGCTGAGCTCTTCAAGCAAAGGGTGTTGCCCTTTGGATCTCGGCACTCGGTCCACAGCTTTTGCAGGGTGTCCTTAGGGATATGGAGGATTGCAGTAACAACACTGCTGATGCACCTGAGCGTCTATTTCGATGACTTCGTCGGTGCGGAGATCGAACCCTTGTCAAAGATCTATGAGATGTGCTTGGACATGCTTTTCAAAGTCCTTGGCTGGGGAACATCGAAAAACAAGGAGCATCCATTTGGGACGCTTGCTAAAGTCTTGGGCCTCGAGATCAACCTTCGTGACGCAAAACTCGGGTGGGTCTACCTTTCTAATACTCCGGAGCGGCAAAAAGAGGTGTTCGACTTCGTGAGCGAAATTCTCGATCAAGGCTTCCTAAAGAAGAAGGATGGCGAGAAACTTCGTGGTCGTCTTCAGTTTGCCGAATGCCAAATCTCGGGAAGAGGTGCCGGGATGGCATACAAGAAACTTACCGGCTTCATCAGGGATGGTGCAGGCTACCTTGATGACGAAGCTCGAAGTACACTTCTGACTTTGCGTGACAGAATCCTTCATGCTCCAAGCAGGTGTGTTTCACAGAACCTCTGCAACACGATGCATTTATACGTGGATGCCAGCTGTGAGAAGCGGAAGGTGGGGCTTGGTGGCGTGCTTGTCAACGAGACTGGAACTAAAATTGGGTTTTTCAGCGAATGGGCTAGTGATGGCGTGGTGGCTCGAATGAACCCAGCCAGTGGAAATCCAATCTTTGAGTTTGAATGTCTCGCGATTCTTATGGGCCTCCGGACCTGGGCACCACTGATAAAGAACTGCAATCTGGTGATCTTCACAGACAACGATGCGGCTCTTGCGTGCATGATTCGTGGAATGTCGGACAATGACTATGGCGGGAAGATCGTAACCTGCGTCCATGAACTCAGTGACGAGATGGTGTGCAACGCGTGGTACGAGCGTGTCAACACCACTTCGAACATAGCAGATGGCCCATCACGAGGCGCCAGAGACGAGTCGTGGGGACCAAGATTTGAGATAGACGTGGATGCCATAGTAGACACTGCCTTGAGCGCTTGGGGGTGAATCGAAGGCAGTGCAACTCTTGCACAGCAATCGTGGATTGCAGCATCCTCGGGGATGTAGTCTTGTATACCCAAGGGTATACATCTTCGCCTTCACTCTTTTGCACAAATCTCCCCAGCGTTCGCCTAGCGGCTGAAAACGAAAGAGCGGTGTTACTTCCATTCGACATGCAAGATGTGTGCTGACATGCTCTCACTAAGATGCATCGAGCAAACCCTTGACACATAACACGAAATAAGGCAACTATCCATCGTGATGGAGAGGACCTTATTTTGTGTTCATGTGCAGCAAAAATAAATGTTCTTTTATTTTTGCGGTTTGCCCGAATCTTGCCCGATTTACGAGTTCACTACAACAATCCACGAGTACAGACCATGTTCCAAATTTTTAGACTTCATGTCTGAACATGACTCACGTTCTTTGACATTCCATGTGTTTGAAGCAGTGCGTTGCCTGCATGCAAGGTCTGAGTGGCTCAGACACAGAGTTTCATTTTTGAATCCCCACCCACCCGCCCGGGGGTGAATCGAAGGCAGTGCAACTCTTGCACAGCAATCGTGGATTGCAGCATCCTCGGGGATGTAGTCTTGTATACCCAAGGGTATACATCTTCGCCTTCACTCTTTTGCACAAATCTCCCCAGCGTTCGCCTAGCGGCTGAAAACGAAAGAGCGGTGTTACTTCCATTCGACATGCAAGATGTGTGCTGACATGCTCTCACTAAGATGCATCGAGCAAACCCTTGACACATAACACGAAATAAGGAGGAAGGAAGGCAGGCAGGAAGGAAGGAAGGAAGCAAGCAAGCAAGGAAGCAAGGAAGCAAGAAAGCAAGAAAGCCAGGAAGCAAGGAAGGAAGGAAAGGAAAGGAAGTGAAATGAAAGGAAAGGCATGCTTGCTTCAAAGCATATGAATATCCTTTCCACACCAATGATGCCAGCGTTCTGTTTGCAAATGTGGGGGGGGGGGGGCTGCGCCCCCCCCCAACCCCCCCGCTGTTTTCTTAGTAGTCCCATGATGCGAGCACTTTTTTGCAAAAACACAGGAAGACACAATAAGATCCAATAAAATACAAGAATATACTACAAAAGTTGCAATAAATTTCAATAATACACAAAAATACAACAATATACAAGTATAGACCAGAACATGCTGCAATATACACGTACAAAAAGAATAACCTACAATAATTTTCAGTCATTGACAATACAATTCAATAATAGACAACAATATACAAAACATTTCCATAAAATACAACAGTATGTTCAATAATTTTCAAAAACATGCAAAATATACAGTAATATAGAAAAACACAATGACATACAATAAAATAAAGTAGTATACACAAACATACAAAAATCTACAATAGTAGACAATAATATACAATAATATACAATAATATACAATAATATACAATAATATACAAGAATATACAACAGTATTCAAAAACATACTATAATATAGAATAATCTGCAAGAATATACAAAGAAAATTCAACCATATACAATAATATACAGTAATCTGCAAAAAAGAGGAGAATATACAAAAAAACTAAAAAAACACACACACGCACAAATACATGCAATAATATGCAATATGATACAAAAAAACACAAGAAAATACAAGACAATACAGTAATACTCAACAATATATACAACAATATACAATGTCATGCAAGAATATACAATGTCATACAATATTATACAAGAACATACAATACTTTGCCATAATATACATGCTTCAGAGTATACGCATTTTTTGAAACTTCTAATGCCAAGATGCCAGCATTGATTTGCAGCCTTTGCAAACTCAGAAGTGCTGCTATTTACAGTATGTCCAGCCTCTGAAATCGCAGAAATGCTGCTATTTTCAATATTTGCAGCCTCTGGAAACTCAGAAATGCTGCAGTGTACAGTATTTCCAGCCTCTGAAAGTGCAGAACTGCTGCTAAATACAATATCTGCAGCCTCTCTCTGGAAACTCAGAGATGCTGCTATTTTCAGTAGTTCCCGCCTAAATGCTGTGTTTTTTCGGTATTTAGAGCTTGTGAACGGCCAGAACTGCTGCATTTCTGAGCGTTTACAGCCTCCGCTCCGCTGGCAAGAAGCTTTCGAGGCCTTCAGTAAATTATTTTTTGATCCCAAATAAGTTTTTTTTTGATCCGCCTAGACTTAAATTATTTTTTGATCCCAAATAAATTTTCTTTGATCCCCTACCCCTAAAGGTCAACGGACCTTTACTGTTTGTCCTGCATGTACTGACATGACATGCTTGCCAATGTGTTGCAGTCTGACAGATGACTGCAGGAGAGCATACAGTGCAACACGGCACCGTGTTACAATCCGGAGGAGAGCGGCCAGAGTAAGCACTCGATTTGGTTGTCTGGCTGAAAACGCATTGATCAGGAGCACGACTGCATGCTGGGTGAGTGGGACGTCGGAGCCTCGAAATCGCTCCAACTCGCTGTGCGCACCGAAAGAGCAAGGCCATAAAGGACCGAGGAGGTGGCTCAGGGTTTTGTTTCCGGTGTGTTTTAGGCGAAGCTCCAGCCTTAACCTGCTATGCTGAGGGTTTGAAAAGTTGGGGCGATTAGAACATGTTTGACCTTTGCCTTTTTTCTGTTGGACTTTACTTTGGTTCATGCCAAGGCATGGACCGCCTGCTCGGCCAAATGCGGAAAGGGGCAAAAGCATCGAGTTCGTAGGGTGCTAGGGCCTGAGACACTGCGCATCCGCATTTTTGAACGGGGCGCAGCCCGCATGAGCTTCAGTCTCCTCACATTTTCAAGGACCAGACCGGCCACCGACAGAGGAAGAGGATGCGAGGGGCCAATGTCGGAGCTCTTTCCCTGCGAGGCCTTCGAAACCACGGTTTCTCACGTTCATTCACCCTCTTGTCATTCAAGCAGTACCCGCTAGCTTTTGTATCATGATGGCGAACATGCGAATGTTGCACATGGGCAGGACTCGCAATGTCATCAGCAGGATTGCCGGTGGAGCGACTGGGATGTGTGGTCAGACTGCCACCGTCCCAGAAATTTCATGATCTTTCTATGCAGCGTTGCAGTTTCGTTCTTGTTAAGCAAGGCTCCTGCAGTTGTGGTGGAGGTGTGAAAAAGCGCCTTCCCGGCATGCTTTGGTACCCACTTTGCCACTTGCTCTACCCATCCGCTCAGCAGTGCGCAACAGTGCAAAACACTGCAAACAATGCAAAACACTGCAAAGCACTGCCAAACAGTGCACAGCTTTGGCAAGGCTTTGTGTGTAGATTGCGCAGGCAATCGTGTGATCGCCGAGTCTCCCCGACATGGCGGCAAGCTGTGCTCGCCGGAAGTGAAGAGTGAGGCACTTTCGCAGAGAGCGAGCGAGAGCAAAGAGAGAGAAGAGAGAGGAGAGAGAGAGAGAGAGAGAAGAGAGAGGAGAGAGAGAGAGAGAGAAGGAGAGAGTTTTTGGATCTTTCAGAGGAGGAGCCTCTCTTTGAGTCTCTCCCCGGGGGGGGAGGGGGGCGGGGCGAAGTGTGCGGAGAAAGAGAGAGAGCTTATTGGAGAGACTAAAAGAAGCAAACAGTCTTGTCAGTTTCGTGAGAGCTTTTTTTCTGATCTCGCAGTCTCTCAGATTTTTGTCAGGTTTCGCCTTGCAACACCGATCCTTGTGACCGAGGGTGTGTGCAGAGCCTACAAGCTTAGTATTGACTTTGCACCGCTGTCGAAACTGCCAGCTGATTGTTTCTGAGGTTGATGCTGCTTGGGCACCCTGGCAGGAGAGAACTCGCGCTGCACCAATGCAGCATGCGTTTGACTCTCCGTAGCGCACCTTGCTGTTCGAGCTGGGAGGAGTGGTCGAAGTGCTCTGCCTCATGCTCTATGGGCTTCCGTTCGCGCTCTCGCTTGGTTGAGGCCACTTGCGTTGCGAGTAGCAATTACAATGCGGAGGCATGCGGAGGTATGCGGAGGTCACCAGCATCTTGAGGTCGAGGCCAACCACTGCGGCTTGCCTGTTGGTGGTCTTCGGGAGCAGTTCGAGAGCTGCTCCGAACAGCCCTGTGTCGGATGCCTAGCTCACGTGATTCATAATGTGACCATAGCATTTGGCACATTTTGGCAAGCCTTCCTGCTATGAGCTGGCTTAGGTCAATGACCGGGACTGTCAACTTTCTGTGTGGGGCAGCTGGTCAAAATGCAGCTGCAGCAAGCCTACTGATCCAACAAACGCCTCTCTTTGCAGCATCTGTCATCCCTTAAGGTTCTTGCTTCGGCATCCGGGAACGAACTCGCACCATCAAGGACTTTGCGGCCGGAAGTGGCAAGCTGTGCCCCAAGAAAAGGTTGCAAGTTAACCAGTTAACCTAAGTTAACGCAAGCTCGGTCTTTCCGCGGAGCAACTCGCACCGTGGTGGTACCAAGGCCATGCGACGGGCTTGCTCTCAAGGTCATCGAAGCCTGCAACGATGATGACGATGACCCGGTGCGCCCTCTCACGTCAAACAACACTTCTGAAACTGAAGCATGGGGCGTTTGATGGTCTACTACGGTCTTTACTGGCTTGACGGGTTTCTCTTCTTGGCTTTGTCTAGCATGCTTGTTCGATGCATTCGATACACCTAGCGGCTTAGCCTTGCTGCGTCCTCGCTGCTCAGGTGTTGTTTCCCGTTTTCGCAGCCTTTTCTAAATCAGGCTGTAATGAAGTGTAATGAAGCCACTTCGTTATGACTGCCGAATTTGAAGGGATACTGGATCACTATGCTGTCCTCGGAGTACACCATCAATGCAGCTGTGCCGATATTCGAAAGGCTTTCCGTGCAGCGGCTCTGAAGTGGCATCCAGACAAGGCTGGCAGCTCACCAGATGCACGCCGACGTTTTCAAGAAGCAGCTGACGCTTACGAGGTTTTATGTGATCCGCAGAAGAGACAAACATACGATGCTGCCTTGGCGCAGCAATCATCGCAGGCTGAAGCAACTGCAGCTTCGACGGCTAGCACGCACCGCGCCACGTCCTATGGGCACGGACACGGGCATCAGTATGGATATCCCAAACATCCCACAGCTCCACCAGGACGAAGCTCAGGTGCCAGGGCGCCCCACTACAGCTACCACGCACAAAGCGAACATGTACATGCGCGAGAGAGCCACAAGACCGCAGCGAAGGACATCAGACCAACTGCTGCTGAGCTGCATCCGCAGGGTTTCGGTCCTGCCTTCCGCGCGAGCATATCTGACCTTCAGACTTTGGCGACCTTTCGACATGAGGGAGCAGTGTGGCTTCCGAAGGTTAAGGATGTAAAATGGTGCAGACCTGATGGGGATGCCAGACGAGTTCAGTTGTCTTACATTGCGGATTATACCTCATCCAGGAGCAGAGGTAATGCCGTCTCACCATTAGTGCAATACCTGCAGACGTCCACTTGTGATGCTTTGCATACATCGTTCCAAGACCATCTAGACAGAGTGGCTGGCCGATGTGATTGTCGGCATTTTCGCATGCAGCTGCTCGATTTCCCTGGTCGTGGTGAGCTGCAATTTCGTGTGAAGCTATGGCTGGAAGGCGCGTCAAAGCTGAAACTGTTCAAACCCCGTTTGCTTCGAGCATTTCCTCTTGCATTCTTCAGATTTTGTTCAGATTTCTTCAGGGTGCTGAAGGGTCCCTCCGAGCATTGCAAACTCATTGAAACTTGTGCTCTGCTTTGAGGTGAAACTGCAGCCCTTTTGCACAGCTTCGACGTTGCCTGGGAGTTCGTGCCGACAAGGAAGATGAAGGATTGTCCACTGATGTGACATTTCCACCAAAATTTGTCTGGCCATGTGCTGCTCAAACTGGGCTTTGGTCAGGTCGCTTTTCGTAATGACACAATTTGCGACATATCGCGTCGCCGCAATTCGCCACGACTGTGCAGTTTGCCGGCAAGTGGATCCCATGGCATCCCAGAGCGTTCAGGGTGTCTTCTCGATGCCTCGGGTCGGCCAGAAGCGGTTTGTACCTTTGAGGCCCCCATGTTCCATGGGGCTCGCAGCCTCCTTCAAGGAGAGCATGCGTCAGAGTTCCAAGCTCTTTGGCTCTAGCCACAAGGGATCACAAAAGTCATATTATGTCATATTCTAGCCAGGCGGCAGAGATTCAATATATGACCTCACTGGCCAGGCATCACAGGCTTGCGGTGAGCCGCTGCCACAGGTGGGAGCGGAATTCTCATGCTTTGGCTTGAAGTCCTGACATTGCAGATTCTGCGAGATCCCGCGAGGACTGTCAGCTCAGCGAATGGAGCGAATGGTCGCAGTGCAGCTTAAGCTGTGGTGGTGGCCAGAAGGTCTGACAGTTTGACAATGTTCTGTCAAACATTGCCAGATGTTGTGATTGTTGATTACGAAGCATGAGACTCGAGTGTGCAATCTGGCAGAGCTCTTGGTGCTCAGTCCAGGAGCGCAGGCGTGAGCTTCAACGGGAGCCTTCCAAGGGAGGAAAGGTGCTTCGCTCTCTCCCTCTCTCTCTTTTTACATCGGCAGAGTGCAGAAAGCATCATACTTGTCAGTTGTGATACCGTAAGTGATTACCAGTTGTGATGTGTTGAAAAGAGTCGGTCTCGAAGGCCACAAGCCGGCCAGACCTGAGAACCCCCAGATTTGTGCCTCGAAAAAGCATGTATTGGCTGAATTGTTTGTAGCAAGCTTCGAATACTGCCATCATGCCTCCTCCTCCGTCTCTGTCTGTGTGCGTCTCTGTGTCAGTGTCTGTGTGTGTGTGTGTGGAAGTGTGTGGATGTGTGGATGTGTGGGTGGGTCGGGCCGGGTCGAACACCAGTCAATGAAAGCCTGCCTGAAGCATTCCGCCGCAGGGATCCACGGATTTTGCATTGTAGTCATCAATCTGCTGTAGCGTGCATTTTTCCGTATGATGACTTCAAAAGGTCTAATGCCCAACATCCTTCCTTGGAATGTCGAACGCCTCAAGGAAGTTGCCAAGTATGATGTGGTCTCGTTTTCTGTTGACAACACAGTGTAAACAGCTCCCAACAAAGCGGCGGATTTCCGCGAAGCCACGTTCTTTGAAAACAATCTTGTCTGTTGTCGGCTGGTGCTACCTGCACCAGAGGCGGAAGTCAAGAAGGACTGGGAACTCCTGTTTGGGCAATTCTCCGTCGTTGCGTCGCCAGGCGTACGAGTAGGCCCAGTCAACAGCCCCTTTGGAGTTTTCCAGCTTCGTGCTGTTGGATTGTCAGCTTTCACCGCCACGACAGAACCAATGTTTCGGAAATCCATGGGGGCGGAGCCTGCCTCTGCGATAAAGTGAGATAATAAGGATGGGTAAGCAACCTTCCAGCGGCAAGAGAGAGTGGAACACCTTATGCTGGCAGAGCCTGAAAGCAAGGGCAGGGGAGCGCTGAGGATGGCAGTGGCTGATGGTGAGCATGGGGGCTTTCGAATCCGCACTAGGAAGGTTACAAGGAATATGCTGATGAGGAGAATGATGACTCTTGCACCCGCAGCCTCCAACCCTCATAAAGAAAACGCCCGTCCAAAATCAACAGCATGCACGAAAACAGATGAGTTCTGTCAAGGCCCAAGGAGAGACGGGTGTACAGGGCAGGCAACAAAAGTGCTGCACATACCGGGAATCTCACCCCCCTCCTGAACCGGCAGAAAGGGCAAGCCTTCCACAGCCTGTCCCAGGAAGGCCGCGAAGGAGATCACACTCTTAAGCGCGTGCTTGCACCGATCATGGTTTCAAATGTCGCCGCCCATTTTCTTCGGACACATAGTGTTCAGACGCATCCATGAGCCACGTGTGTTCTGCCCCGGCCAAAAACGCCTCTTGCGATGAACTATGACCTCATCTCGGCCTTTCCTCTCGCCCAGTCATTGACATCGGTTATCGAATGGCTCGGTTATCTTTTTGTAAATCCGCAGACTGCGCGCACAAGTGCTCGAGCCCCCGGTCCGGAGCTACAATGCTGCAACGAACCAGAGGGTGTCAACATCTCCTGCCGTGCCTCGTCGAGGTGTTGAATCGGTGTACAATGGTGTACAGTAGTCCGTGCATCTGTTTAATTGGCGGCCCCCCCCCACCCCCCGCACCATCCCGCACCGCAATAAGAAAGGCAGGGTGCCGCAATAACAAGACCATGGCAATTTGTTGATTCTCTATTAAAAGCAATAGGATTGTATAGTTTGACCGATCCAAACTGCAGCTCAGCAAGCAAAATCAGAAGCCCGCCGAAAGATTTTGGAACCCCCCGAAAAGAAGTCCTTAAATGTGGTGGTGGTATTGGCACATACGAAAATACCACCCAGATACACTTCAGGATCGCCTAACTGGGTGCGGTGGTGGTCACTCGCCAGACTCACTCCATCGATCTGGTGCTGAAGCTGTTGTTCGACTGCTAGGCCACAGCGAGGAGCAAATGATTTTCTGGAATAAGTTTGTTCGAATGTCAAAAGATTCGAGCATGTCTGCGAGATCCTCAATCATATTTGACTTTAAACAAAATCTCCGTGGATGTTTGGTGATGGACGATGCTGTTTCAATTTCGATCTTCAAAATCTAGGAGTCCCCTGTGTGAACACTCCCGGTGATGTGTAGTCCCACGGTCTGACGTTTGATGGACCCGCTGCGAGTCTTGTGGAGATGATGTTCGGTCGCAGGCTTGCGACAATGTTCTGAGCATCACGGAACCGTGCAACACACAGCTCTGTAAGTGGCAGCCTTGGAAGAGGCAACATGCCAAAAAAAAGAATATATATATATATGTATTATATATGTATATACTCATATATATATATATATACTTATGTCAGCACATTTCAGATGTTTGGAAAGCGGTCCGAGGCCGGTCTTCTGCGCGGCCCGCAGCATTCATGCATCTTCCATGAGATCATCGTGAGAGCCAATGGAGACTTGAAGTGCCGAGGTCAGGATTGCCAGTGGGGCTCGTGGTCAGATTGGGGCGACTGCTCTAGGCAGAGCACGAAGCAAGGCATGCCATGACCCCATCTGTTCTTAAATCCCAGGTGTGGAGGGCAGCGATTCCGACACCGTTCAATCATGAAGATGCCCAACGAGTGCGGGAAAATTTGTGATCCACGCAGCACCTTTGCTCAATAAAGTACCAAATGTTCTTGATGACTCATGCCCTCTTCTAACAATCCTCACCATCCGAGGTGCCAGGGAGGTGTCAGGTTGCAGCAGCCATTGCGAGACCACCAAGTATTGTGCCGCGGGCACAGACGATGATCAGGATCTCTGTATGGCTCAGTCGCAGTTCCAATAGTCAATTCAATTGAGGCATGGTCGTCCTGGACCAGCGCAACCTCTTGCGGCACAGGTTGTGGTGCCACCGCTGTTATCAGGACATGCCCACGCAGACGTGCTGTTTGTCAGACTTGTAGCTTTGCAGCACCTTGAGTCTGCGATTTCTCGGTCAGGAATCGGGTGATGACTCTTGTGGATCTACCGGGGCCAGACTACTTCTTCAAGGTGGGGAGATGCGTGGCAACTTGGGTTGTCTGAACTTCACGAATGTGGGGGCGCTTCAGGGTCTGGCCACCTCCAGCTGCTCTGCGACACAGCTCAACGCTGGCACCACAGCTTCTTGCCATCTTGCCAGTCAAACGCCCGACCTCTTGCTTTTTAGTGTACCCATGTACAGAGCGAACTTGACTACATGTTTTACTCTGGGCCTTCTATGGGAGGTCAGCACTTGTCCAGAGTCTCCACAGTGCCAACCGACGTGTCGTCCGAGGCGCCAGTCTTCGCATAAAAGCCTTTTCTCCGCAGCGCTCACTTACACATTGCACAAAGAAGAGTACAGCAAAGCACAGGAAAGCATGGCAAAAGCCAGGAACTGTCAATTCGGATCCTGGAGCGACTGGAACCAGCCGAGCTGCGACCAGTCCTCAGCCACAGGCATTCGAGACTTTGCCGCGGGGCTCTGAGAGCATCCGGACATCTTCATGGGATGAAATGAGGTCGGTCTTTGTGAACGGCATCGAACAGTCTTGGCATGGATCTCTTCTTTTGGGTGTGTCTCATGGCGGCTATATTCTTTAATACGTTCCATCCAAGGCGATGAACAACGAGTGTGGCATTCCTTGCGCGGGGTCACTGCAGCTCGGCATATAGACTGGAACAGTAGTTGTGCCTGCCGGAAGAAAGATGGGTAATTGTTGTCACACAGGCTTGTTGTCAATTTTGGGGGGCGCATTTTCCGCCAGCCCACTGAAGCATCCCCACAGCTAACCGGGCAGATCTTCGTTTGAGTTGCCCGAGGCAGGAGACAAAGCACTGTGAAGCTGATTGCCAAGTTCCACAAGACTGCAAGCTATCGGTGTCTCATGGCTGCACAATGCTGCGCAGATCGGTCCGACCAGAGTCTGATCTTGTTTTTCCTCTGCACTTGTAACGCTGCCGACCTTTCAGCCACCCGAAAAGAGGGAAGGTTTAACGCACGTCGAGGTTAATTGGCGCTATCCTGAACACGTAACGGACTCGCTTTAGGAGTGATCACATGAGAACAGAGGTGCAAGGCAAGGCGGGACATGTGTCATTTCGAGACACAATTTGTGACTGAGGTGGACCAGTTGGTCTGGCTGTGAAGAGGCATGATGGCTTGGCTTACGTTCAGCAATTCGTTGTTTGTGTTTTTGCCAAGCCCGTGTTTCAGGCTGGCCAAGCAGGCAATGACGTTGCAGCACTTCAGAAGTTCCGTGAGCGGCAGGTGGTCTGGGCGCTGCGTACTTTTCAGCATCGGTGCTTCCAATGCTCAATCCCCAACAGGTCCTCAGCAAGCCCAAGAATGGGGGTCTCCCATGTGAAGGGAGTCTCCGTCACTTGGTTTCAGTGTATGCCTGCAACGAAAGCAGCTTGTACCGTTTGTTGGTGGGGTTTGAGGTGAGACCACCAGCTGCAAAGGATCATCTGCCCGCATCCCGGGTTCGCGAAGGAGGATTAGTCACATTACCGGTTCAAGATCGGGCACATGTCTGCTTCAAGGATGTCACAGATTGCATCCTGTCAAAGTGGAGCAGTTGGGGTGTTTGCAGCCAGTCGTGCCGCTTTCTCGGCATGCCTTGTCAGCAAATCTGTATGAGACTGTGTGTAGCGTGCGAGGAGTTGAAAGTTGAATGCTTAGGTGCCCGCGGCTGGCAGATGCGGAGCCGGCAGGTGCTGATCCCAGCCCAGGGCAACGGGCAGCAGTGCAGCGGGCCCCTGCAGGACAGACTGAGCGGTGATTGTTGGGACGAGCCGGGTGACGAGCTTGTATGCCAAAGCACACAGAACATACACACCCAAAAACAAACATCGGCAGTATCGGGAAGGGAGCACCACCATGCTTGTGGCACAGGCAGGATTCAGGTGGTACTGGTCTGTATCGCAGCACCGTGGACTGACCTGCTTCGGCTTTGTTTATCTCAATACTCGTAGATAGGTCTCATTAGTCTCTTTCAATGCTATTACAGTGCGACTTGGGTGGGTGGATGGAATACTGTGGTCTTTTCGTTCCGCGCAAACAAATGTGATCTTATGAGAGTGCGGGGTGTTAACAAGAATGCCAGTTGATGATAGTAAGAATATAGGGGCATTTCCGCAATGAATAGAATAAAGGCCCTAATTCACTGATTTCTATTACCTTCGTCGCTTTATCATCACACGCACGCTCACATGTACGCGCACATGCACGCGCACACGCACGTGCACACGCACAAGCACATGTAACCGCACGCACGCGCGCACATGTGGGACAGGAGATCGGAGGCTGTGGTGAGGACCCGCTTGCAAAGCATCCAGACAAGGCCTTTTTGGGGCCGTGTTCCTGTACAACTATAGCTGACCAGTTTGTGTGTGCTTGCAAGTGGGTCTTGCGAAGGCAGTCGGAGGTTGCGGCTCGAGTAGCTTGGTTGCCCTATGTGCACTGGCTGTGGCCGCTCTTGCTCTCGACAAATCTGTTGGTAGGTGCCTCCCCGGTGCTGACGCGACGACATGTCCTTTGAATTTGAGCAATTTGTGCAAGGTCACGACTGTGAATTTGAACCGTGGACACAGTGGCATGCATCTCAGCCTTCTAGCGGCGGCAACCGTGGCAGATGATTTCGATAACATGCCATGCCACAGGTCTGGTCTGGATGGGGACAACCAAAGGTTTCGAACTCGAAAGGCAGCTCGATATGCGATATCATCAAAACAGTGGGGCGACGCAGCTTGGAGCTTGGAGGTTGCCATTCCTGCCTCCGGTGGCGGAAAGCCGTGTGATGGGTTTCGGACTCAAGCTTCGCATGTAAAGATGTCTTTAACAATCTTTACCATGCTTAATTTTCACACTACGCGACCCGCCTCGGCCCGGCCCAGCGCATCCGCGTGAGCATGGTGATTCCGCAGCGAGTCGCTGGACCCCAAGCAATAAGGGTTGGGTTTAGGGTTTAGGTTCCGGGTTTATGGTTTATGGTTTGGGGTTTAGGGTTGAGGGTTAGTTTAGGGTTGAGGGCTTAGGGCTCAAGGTTCACGGTTTGGGGTTTGGGGTTTTGGGTTTTGGGTTTTGGGGTTCAAGGTTCAAGGTTCAAGGGTTCGTAAAGTTGAGCCAAACCCCTCAAGCAAAAGGGGGGGAGGGGGGAGGGGTGCGGGGGGTGGGGTGGGGGGGGGGTGGGGGGGGTGTGGGGGGGGCTGGGGGGTGGGGGGGGCTGGAGGGTGGGCGCTTCAACTGTCCCTGGTCTCACACACCTTCGGCCCGAGGCCTCGGCGGATTGCACCTGCACCTCATCTGCACCTCAACTTGAGACGTCAGATGGCGACGGGGCCTGTGATTCCGCGGAATGCTGAATTTGTCATTAAGGGGGGTTCATAGGCTTCCTTCGGGGGTCCATGGGTGTTGCGGGTGTTGCGGGTGCTGCGGGTGTTGCGGGTGTTGCGGGTGTTGCGGGTGTTGCGGGTGTTGCGGGTGTTGCGGGTGTTGCGGAGGTCCAAAGGGGATTCAGAGGAGGTCCACATGCGGTCCAGAGAGTTCCAAAACCCATGGCCGACGCTTTGGCCAGCGGTGGTGGATGAAGGTGGCGGGCTGTTCTTTTGCTCCAAACGCCTTAGGCCTCGGCGGATGGCTTGTTGCTTTGTCTTGGCCACGTGCAACGTGTTGGGAGCATGTGTGGCAAAGGCCGCTGCATGAAACGGAAACTGGCCATGAGGAGAAGGTCATGGGCCAAGTTGCAATTCGTGAGCGTGAAGTGCGAGCAAATTTGCATTTTGTGTTTGTGTGTGTGTGTGTGTGTGTCTGTGTGTGTGTGCTTTTGAGGTTGACTGTCAAATGTCATCATGGACGTTCTGGTCCGCATGCGCCCGTGAACTTACAATATGACATCTGCTCAAGTGGAAGACAACTCATTGTACTGATGCTGTAACACCTTCTCCGTTGGTCCTGTGCTCAAGAGCAACGCCGCTGAGGACCGAACATGCGGCGGTGGCCAGTCGCAAAGGCAGCGTCAGGAGGGGTCCAGCGGTGCAAGCGGTACCAAGCCACTGTCAGCGCTCAATAGCGGAGCAGGTTGAGAGATTTCCAAAAAATGGGGGCGATACTTGCCCGCACGAGCTTATTCAAACTCGTGGTCGGAGCCTTACAAATCGATGTTTTTGCAGACGTGCCGCTTCATATGCTTACGATGAGTCACTTGACGGGCGCCAGCTGCCCTGGTCGAATTCTGAGGATGTACTTTGAAGGCTTGTGACTCCAAGGCTCGGGCGTTGCAGTCGGGCATGGTTCGACCTGATCTTCGGTTCCTTCCGTTTTGTGAAGTAGGCAGAGTATATCTGACATCGAACAGGATGCTGAGATCAGTGATTGGACGGATTGGAGCCAGTGTTCCACCACCTGTGGTCCAGCGAACCAGGCACCATGCCAGGATATGCCAGGATATGCCAAGATATGACAGGATATGCCAGGATTCCCGTTCTGCTGTTGGAGCCATATTGGAGCCCTTTCCTTGAAGGACCGCAAGAGGCAGGTTTTGGCCCTGCGTGGCGAAGGAGGAGAAGGAATCACTGCCGACTTAGCGCAAACAAGACCCTGTGCCGCTTGGAGCATGTGCCATACTTTCTTCTTCCATTTCTGCCATTTCTTCCACTTCCACTTGGCATCAAGAGAGAGATAAAGAGCCGAGGTTGGCAATCTCCCGTGCGAGAAGTATGATTGTCTTTGGCATGACTGGTCAGTCTGTGGCCCAGTGCTGCAATGCTGACGCTCATTCCACGGTAAGATACCAGTTTTCTCCTTGCATCAAGTGCCAGCCATGTGAAATGAGGAGTGGAGCGACTGTACATGCACGTGTGGTGGGGGGCAGAGGAGCCTGTGTTTTTGGTGGCCCAGCTGATTCTAAACCGCTTGGGGATTCTGCAGGACGCGAGACCGATCGGTTCGGCGAATGCCCAGTCATGGGGGACAGCCCTGCGAACCCAAGGAGTGGTTGCCTGAAAAGATCTGAAAGTCTGTGAATACCGTCATGTACTAGAGGGTCTGGCGTCTTGGACCCTAGGACCCGAAGACTGATGGTCTAGAATCTAGCCCCCTAGATTTTAGACCCTAGCCCGCCCTAAGATTCCAGACCCACCACATCTCAGCATGAAACCAAAAAAAAAAACCGCTGCACAAAAACGGGGCCTGACATGTATGTCATGAGTTCACGCACGTTGCACATCGCACCCTGCAGTTGTCGAATGATGCCCATTTTGCAGGAGCAGAGCAGTGTAGGGTCCAGGGTGACAAGTCCTTGCAATGGTGTGTGTTTGTTTTGTGTAATCCCCCCCCAAATCTGCGCCTATGTGCGTCAGGGGTCTCAAGGGAACGTGTTTTGTGCTGTAGCGGCCTGCGGCGGCAGCAACAAAAACGCCCACCGCAACAACAGCGCCCCACAGCAACAGCAAAAACGACGCACCCCCGCAGCAACGGCTTCAAACGACGCGCCCTGCAGCAACAGCAAAAAAGCGTGCCTCGCATCAACAGCAAACAAAAAGAAACGCCCCGCGGCAACAACAAAAACAGCCTGCGCCAAGCAGCAACAAAAAAACACCCTGCGCCCCGCAGCAAAAAAAAAACCTGCGGCCCCCCGTATTGTTGTAGCAAAAGAGGGGGGCAGCGAGCGAGTGAGTGTGCGAGTGAGTGAGTCACGTCCCGCGGGGGCAGCCAAAAAACGAGCACCCCGCAGCAACATATAGACAAAAGCATACAAAAACATCCTCGCTGACTCCTCCCATTGCCCGCCCCTCGCAAGCCGCATGCCCATATGCGCCCGCGTTCCGTAATCGACCGCCCCGCAGCAAAAAATCAGTAGCAACAAAAAACGCACCCAGCAGCAATACCAAAAGAAATGCGCCCCACCCCGCAGCAACAGAGCAAGCGCCCTGCAGCAGAAAAAAAAAGACCCTGCACCGACAGCAAAAAAACACCTTGCAGCTAAAGCAAAAACAAAACGCGCGCGCCTAAACATAGCAAAGCAAACCGCAGCAACATAAACAAGTAGTAGAAAGTTGTACATGCCGTAGCCCTTGTCGCCCGCGGCATAGAAAGGAAGAAAGAGGCCAAGGGCAAGGCAACATAAACAAACAAACAACAAAAGAACACTTGTTTTGCTTTACGGGGCAGCCTGTCCGGGGGGAACGGGTTCCGGGTGCAGGGCTGCTGTCTTTAGGCTTGAGGGGGCCTTCCCAACCCCCCCATCTCGAGCCCGCAGCTCAAAACTAGTTTTCCAGCTCAATGCATGCATCCTACCCTCGGCTCTAGATGGGGGGGTTTGGCTCAAACAAGGTGGGCATCCTTGTTAAGTTTTTTTTCTTCGGATTTTGGGTGACACTTTCATTGTGCACCCTTGGAACCGCCCTCCGAATCTTTGGCATACATTGAGCTTGAAAATTTATCTTTCCCAAGCTCCCGGCATGCGCTGGTCCGAACCCCCCCATCTGCCGACAAGGGGGTGGGAAAATGGGCTTTCCCAACCCCATCCTACCTAACCCCCCCTTATCTGCACCCGCGTTCCGCGTAATCGACCACTTTTCAATGGTATCCCCCGCCCCCCCGTGGTACCTGTTAACCCTAAAAACACCACGGACCAGGCGGGGGGGGGGGCAGACTAAACCCCAAACCCTGAACCCTAAGCCCTAAAACCTAAACCCGCCAATGAAACACAGGAGGGATAAGGGTAAAGCTGAAACCTTAGCGGCTTTAAGCCTTTAAGCATGAACCCTCAACCGTAAACCCAGCACGAACCACAAAGGGAGTGGGGAAACCGTAAACCTACCATTACCCCAAACCTTGAACCCACCATGAACCAATGGACCAGAGTGAAAATCCTGAACCCTGCAGCCCCCTAAGCCCCTAACCTAAACCCATGAACCACAGACCATGGGGGGTGAGGGCCCAAAACCAAAACCCACCACGAACCGCTGGGGGGGAGGCAGGGGGGAGGGGGGGGGAGGGGGGGGGGGAGGGGGGGGGAGGGGGGGGGGGGGGGGGGGGGGAGGGGGGGGGAGGGGTGGGGTTGGGAAAGCCGGCCTTGAGCTGGAAACTGGCTATAATAGGTGCTAGCTGCAGCGGCGTGGGGGGGAGTTGGAAAAACAAGGCTTTATATAAATGCTGAGCGCAGAGAGCTGTTGAGGTGCACGCGTGTCACGCAGTTATAACTTGCACAACCCAGAGAACCACAAGCCCGCGTTAGGAGACCTGAACGCTGCAGAGACGGTCTGCTCACGTTGCAACGGAAGGGTCTGATTTCATTGCTTTCTGCACCCTAGGACCAGGAAATCAGACCCACCAAAAGGGTCTAAGATCTAATGCTAGGGTAGACCCTGTTGTAGCTGACGAAAGTCTGTGATGCAGTCCGCTTGAGCATGTTTGTCCACAGACATCGAGAATCCTGTCCTCGGAGGGCTTGGTATGCCTTTCACGTTTCACGGCAGTTGTTTTGACAGGACAAGGAGGAGATTGAGCCGTGCAATATGCAAAAATGCCAGAGCGAGAACTGCATCGTGGCTGCCCCAGCCTGGAAGGGATGCAAAATGCAGAGATATGCAGGGCGACGTGCATCTAAGAGTGCCTCTTTGACTTTTCTCAACTTTCAACAATGCTTTCAACTCATTGTTCAGGATGGTGAGTTTGGTGCATGGTCTCAGTGGGGAATGTGCTCCGCGTCGTGTGGTGGAGGAGTGTCATTCAGGCCCTTTGCAATGCCTCTGAGCAATTTGGACCACTCTTCAAGTGCTGCCCAACGCACAGCCACGCTCCGCGACACCAGGCACAGGTCCATCGTTCAGGATGCCAATGAATGTGGCAGCGAACCTTCGGGCAAGGCCCCTCCCAGAGCCCATCAGGGCATGACGTGTACAGCATTGTGCAGCAATCGGGTTGAAGCCTTGCAGGCCCGACAGACGAGGTTTTGCAACACGGATGTGGACTGTGAACAGCCTTTGGACTGCCTTTTTGCTGCGTGAGAGTCTCAGACTGTGTGCTGCTTCGCTCTGTTCCCGATGAGGGTGTTGACGCGCTTTGCCAGCATTTAAGGTGGTCGCAGTGGACACCCTGCACGCGGACTTGCGATGGTCTACAACGCCGCAACAGGCTGACCCAGGAAAGAGCACAATGCAGTCAATACATCAGTAGGGGGTCATGATGAGCTGAGGCGGGTGGACAGATTTGGTCGTGGGAAGGGCGCGTGGTGTCTTGGCAATTTGAAAGAGACCAGGCCGGACTTGGCCGGACTCGACTGGAAGTAGCTTTTCTCGCTTGTCTTTGCGCTGGTGGAGGACTTGCAACCCTGTTGTTGGAGATGCGCCACCTGGAGGGTGCTCTACGGGTCCCGTTGCACCTTGCTCCAAAGTCAAGGAACTGCGTTTGCCACATGCCACAGCATTTGATCTGAGGCCGACTGTCAATTCTCCATGTGGGCTGCCAGGAGCCTGACTTTCATGTTTGCAACGTCTCCCAACGTGTCGCCAAGCGAGTCACGAGACATCATCGTGCCGAGGCCTGGTCAGTCTGCAGCGCCACGTGCGATGGCGGCATGCACACGCGGTCAAGAAGTATCACTTCAGAAGCTGCAAATGGGGGCAAGGCAGGATTTGAGGAAAATTGAGGGACTGAGCCGAGATGCGATTCCTTGTGTCAGGCTTGCGAGGGTCCGATGACCCAAGTCCGCGAATGCAGCCGCAATGACTGTGTAGCGCCCCCTCCACGAAACTGCCAGTTGGGTGAATGGCGCGAGTGGGGTGCTTGCGGCAAGTGCAATGGACAACGTTTTCGCAGCCGGAACATCATCCAATATGCCGAGAATGGTGGCCTCAACTGTGACGAGGCAGATACTCAAGAGGCGACGTCATGTCCCAGGCAGTGCCATGAACCGTCCTATTGTGTGTGGTCGGACTGGGAAGCGTGGAGCAGATGTTCGGTAAGATGTGGAACTGGTGGTCCTCCTAGCGCTTTGATATCAGCTTACTGCATTGCATGCTTCATCGGCTCACCTGACTAGCTGTCAGCAAACTGGTGATTCACTCCTAGGTGGGAAGCGAAGTAGAAGGCGCTGGTTGGAAATAACGAGTGACGAATCGCGAGCCTTGGACGTACTCCCTCCTGTGGAGGACCTCGTGCATCTGAGTTCGTTCTCTCTCTTTTGAATGGAAAGCAGTTATGCGTGCCGCACGTTCCCAGGACCTTCTGCAGAAGTACTCTAGCCTTTACAGTCAGACGCAGGCGCGTGAAGCGCTGTACAAGCTCGGTTTCTGTTGGTTATGAGGTTCATGATCTTTCGGGAGAGGCACCCGCAGCCAAAAAAAACCCAGCCAAGGCACGACAGAAAATTATGTAGAAACAGTGGCACTGGCGATGAAAACAAGAGTGCGACAAGAGAAGTTGGAAGGGCAGCCTAAGGGAGTTACGCGCAGAAAGGGCCTGATCTCACGCCGGACTTATAACCCTGGTTACAAGTATGGCTTGGAGCAGAGGGCTTTACGACCCCTCAGCCTTGACGCGAATATCCCAAGACCTTGTTTTTGCTTACTGATACCAACGCAATCAAGTGCGAAGCCGTAGGCTTTGGGTTTCGTGTCGCATTAAGGGTTCTCCTCAGTTTGTCGTATACCATGTCCTGCCTCAGGGTCTGCAGGGTCTAGGGCCGTTGCAGCCGTGAACCCTAAGACCCATATTCTGTCTAGGGCTTTGATTGTTAGGCTTAAGCCAAAATCAAGATCTAGCGATAGCTTGCAAGACTTTCAGGGTGGGTTGTTTTGGGCGGGGACCTCGGGAAAGGGCATCTGTCAGTCACGACTCGGCTGGGATTATGCAGCATCAAGAGAGCCTTCGAGTCCCCGTCGTACCGAGTACCAAGTGAGAAAAGATCTGACGACTGCGACGCATCATATACATGCAGATTACGCCAATTAAATCATAGCTTAAGCTATGGGCTACGAGTGCAAACGTGGAAGCCTTGCCCACAGTTGCAAGGTACTACTCAGTACAGACCGAAGAAGTGAGGAAACGCTTGGTGAGCACTCCTGCCTTGACATCTGCGAGTATCTCGCGCTTCTCTCCGCTGGGCGAGTCTCCACAAGCCCACTTGGCTCGGTGATGTGAGGAGCAGAGTATAGTAGAGTACATGCCCAAGTGCCACAACTCTGTTGCAAAACCTACCAATGATACAAAGTAGGGTGAGACAGCACGCCAAGGCGTCTCGGCCTTGCGCAGACTGGCACATTGCTCCAGCCACTGTTTTACCGTTGGAAAATGCAATGCGCCATAGTCTCAACACGAAAACTAGACAGGACAGCATCCGCACCTCACTTCCAACGTACCACCATGCAACAAGCTTCAAACTCGATGCTAACATCACCAGATATGAACAATTTTCTTCGAAGGGTACTTAGGCCTCGCCTTTCCAACACCGGTTTCAGAAGGAAAAAGGCCCGGGCTTAAACAAAAATAGCTCCCGAATCCATTCCCAGAGCATTGGCTAGCTTACTTGGCGTCATAATGCCCTGGGCTGGGCCCCTGCCACAATGTGGCGAGTGTATCAACGTGTCAGTCACATGGAAATTGCCTGAAAATACGAGCTGCCAAGGCACTGCACATGGGTGTGACCTCGTTCCTGTATGTACCAGGTTGCACAGTTGCACACACACATTGTTTGTCGAAGCGCCCAAAATCTTGGAGACTCTGACAAACATCACGCAGCATAGACATGATTTGAAGACAAGTTAGTTGATTTGGGAGACGGATGTATGGTATGCTGGATGGACGTGGCGTATGCTCAGTTCGAACAGTGTTGATCTTCGCTTTGCACTGTTAGTGCTTCAGATGCTCTGCCTGCTTTCGTCATCGCTCGAACAAGCTTCGCAAGAACTGCTCTCTCATCCACACCCGAATGAGTGCCTTCGTTGCGTGGTGACTTCACCAGCATGAATGTGTGATTGGGACCACATGATCTGCGACTTTTCGACTCGCACAAAAAGCACACACACAGACATACACCAGCCTCAGAAGTAGGAGTGGCATTGTCACGTTTCGGCACTCCTGTGGTGCTGTTGTTCCCTCGTGCCGCCCTCAGAAGTAGGGGGGCCGTTAGTATGAATGCAGTGAGGGATGCCCTGTGTGACGGTGCAACTTGGCACACACACACACCCATGCACATGCACACCAATGAAAATCCTTCTTGGCCTTCATCCTGAAGCCCAAGCCTTAGCCCAAAACCACAAACCTATAGTAATGAAGCCTTCAATTCCTCAACCCCAATCAAGCCTTCATGATTGCACATACATCTCTGTTTGTGTGATGACGCGTGATCTTCAGCAAAGACCAACAAACAAACCTTCTCAAGAATCTTCAAGTATGCAGCAGCTGTTCGGTGTTTTCTACTTGTTCCTGTTTCAGGATCTACAAGGCTCCCACATTTGGGAATTGCTCCTGGCCTTCACAGCTGGCCGGCTCCTCACTGGGTCCGACGGCATGCATTGCAGTGACATGACGCATGCTGATTGAGCTCCTTGAGCTTCTGCCGATGCCCCTGAGATGCCCGAGGCTGCTTAGCTTTTGTGGCGGTGCTTGGGCTCGGCATCGCGGCTTCCGGCAACTCGCATCTCGGCTACGCGGATTTGCCAGAGACATTGATGATGCTCACCCTGGATAAGAAGCAAATTCGCAAGGGAGGGGGGGGGGGAGGATTGAATGACAAATTGTGTCGATATGTGCGTGAGCGTGTCACGTTCTCATCAGTTCTCATCGCTTGTATGCACGCGGGATATGTATGCTTCAGAAAACAAGAGATGCGCAATTCATCTTGTGTTCCACCAGGACATGGATTAGCTGCGGCATGCACCCATCCTGCATAGGTCACTTTGCACGGAGCATACGGAGCTCATGCTGCATATGATCATCACCGCACATGAGCTGCTGTTTGAATCCACTGCTGCACAGGACATAGTGCGTTCGGTTTGCACAGGGACAGCTAGAACATGAAACGAGCCGTGCAGGGCGTGTGATGAAAGGCTTTTCTTGGCCCAACATGAGTCAACGACGGGAGGAGAAGCGCGTTTGTAATTCGTCGTGCCACGTTGTTCAACATTACAATGGTTAGAGCAATCCTGCAACATTCGTTGTGCAATGCTTCGCGCTCGTTGTTGGTTAACCCCGAACAATTTTCTGGAACAATAGCGCCTATGCAACAGTGGCTGATAGCAGCCTGACTGTCGCAGTCGTAGCATTGTGCTAACTTAGCTGTGTGATGGCGCGATATACAGCTTCCTGCCTATGCTTTTGTCACATGCATAGTCGAAAGGCTGAGATTTTGCCCCGACTTCATTTGCAAGCTCCTCCAGCACAAAGTCTTCTACTTTACAGTCAGCAACAAATCCATGGGCAGTTCCCATTGCCAGAAGACAACAGTGTGTTGTGTGTGGGTTTTTGTTTAGAAACGAAGCTATGAAATCAGTTATGTTCGTGTTGAAAACCCCTGTGCAAACTTTCAAAGCGCGTGGAAATCTGGAGCTGCCTGAAACTGAGTGAGGGAAGAATCTAGGGCTTATCACCTTTGTACTTGCCGAAAGTGTGGCAGAGACGCTTCTGATTTTAAGACATTATGAGTTTGTGAGGATGTCAGCCTAAAAGTCGTAAAGTGCATTAAAGCGCCAACGGGCCTGCCAATTGATACACTGAAGGAGAGAGACATTTACAAGCTGCCAGAACATATGCCCTCAAAGCAAAGCACGGCCTTTGCTCAGGTCTGCCGTGCAGCGCCTCTTGCCATCAAGAGTCACCTCGCGCAGGCATGCCGGGCCGGACCAGCGACGCCCAGCTTGCAAGCTAAATGCACTGCGGTGTTGCCAGGCTTGATGTCAGCGAGACCCGAGAAGTCCTCGACGTTGTTGAAGGAACTGCGCTCGGTCCCTCATGTCACTTGTAGATAGTTGTAGAACGTTGTAGAACATCTTCCAGTTGTAAGATACGTTGCTATCTACCTTGGGTAAGTCGTGTGTAAGTGCTGCTTTGTTTTGTGCGTTGTCTTCTCCTGTTGCCTGTTGTTGTTGCTGCTGTGGACCTCCTTCTGCCTGGTTCTGTTTGCTTTCGTTGTTCTGGTTGCTGGCTGTTCGTCCAACGTTCTTCTGTTTTTGTGTTTTTGCAACGCGGAATTTGCTCATTTGCCCCATTTGGGCGCAAGTGGGGCCAAACCAATGAGCTCGGCCGGATGACCAAGTGGGGCACTTGCAGACCCCACGCGTTCCTCGAGATTGACGGCGTTACGGGATCAACGATCCAGACGGCAGGCGAGTAAGTTGAATGGAGGTGAAACAGGTGGGACAGGTGAGGCAACCAAGCGTGTTTTCCTTCGCCCCAAACCAAACTCCCAAGCAAAGCCAAGCCCGCCGAACCTTTGATTCCAACTCCTTCGCTTCGCCAGACATGCAAAGCAACGTGTTGCTCCGCACTTTAAATCCGGACCACTCCGCGGCGGCTTCAAAAGCGAGTGATTAACGACTGATGCGACAAGGTTTTTGCCTTCTCCCAGCAACCCAAGCCACCCTGTTCACATCTGTTCACCCTACCAGCACCGAGGGTTCACGAGAGAAAGGGGGTGTTGGTGTGAAACTGCGGAGGTCTATGTGAAGTGTGCTGCTACCCGCATATTCGAGCCTAAACCCCTAACGACCCACAGCAACCCCCAACGCTTTCCCAACTTTCAATCCCCACGGAACCCATGCACACTCGCGCGGAAATCTTTCGCCAAATTCAAGCCCCATAGCCCGCAAATTCCACCGTCACACACATCTCGGGTTCAGGGTTTAAGGTTTCGGGTGTATAGGGCCTGGGGGTTTTGGGAGCTAACGCATGCAAGCAGCCACCGCAGACGATCCAAGCGTAAGGCTTTAGGGCCGACAGTGTCTAGCTCTCAATGTTTTTGTTATTTGTGTCTAAGGGTGTTCGGATTCTAGCGGAATAGGGACACGTACCCCCCCAGCCTTCAACCACCCCGCATTTTGCGGTGTTGGTGTGCTGTCGGAACCGTCTTGAAGTGGTCTTGGCATGCTCTCGCAGTGCTTTCGGGGCTGTGATGGTAGTGGTTGTTGCTCGGATGATTCTGTTTCCGCGTGGGCGGGGAGGGGTGTCTTCCCCCCATGGTTTTACTTAAAGTCGCGCGAAATCGGTGGGGCTGCAACCCAAACTGCCCATGTTTCAATGAGACCATGTGTGCCGGTGGGCAGATTCTAGAACGGATTTAATTTGTATTAACCCTAGAATCCGTTGGCTGTTTGCTATGCCTCGTTATGCCTAAGCTTGACAAGTGATGTTTTCTAAAGACGGGCAGTCAACCCTTATTTTGGCAGTTGGGTCGGCAAGTCAATGGTTGTTGTCTTTGGCCCCGAGCCTGAGGCCGAATTCGCTACAGCAGCATCGCTGACAGCGACCTGGAGGAGTTCCTTGCGTTTCATTGCGTTTCAGCCTGAAGATTCATGATTAGAGAAGCTCAAACACTGGTCGCCTGTGGTCACGTCTCGTGTTGGGTTTAGCCCTTCCTCCCCCTCTTTTTGACACCTCAAGGCCCCCCTTCTGTCTCCCACGCAACCCCGCACCGCACACACGCCGTCCGTGCGTAGTTTGTGCCGCTGCGCGCCCTGCTGTCCGGGGGATAGGAATTCGGGATCTATTTGGGTCCAGTAGCAGTCCCTGAACATGCAGGCACCGTGCTTGTACGTTTTTCCGCACTCTGCCCCGCACAACTGGAAGAAAGATAAATCAAAGATCGAGTCGGACCCCCAAAATACCCCAAACAAATATGTACGGAAAGTTTTGTGCCAACGCGTGCAGGCAAGGGCCGTGAGTTCGTGACACGTCAATCATGCAGCAGGGGTGCTGAGAGGGGTGCTGAGATGTGCCGAGCATGTTTCTGACCTATTGCAGCGATGGCAGTTGTCGCACAGGACGTTGGTGACGTTGCAGTCGAACTCCCGCTCCGTGACTACATCAGGCAGGTGGCAGCAGAGGGCTAGCACGGGCTGCCTGCAAACCCAATCCAAGGCAGTACCGCACTGTCCGACCCGGTGTCAGCACAGCTATGACAGGCACTAGCCTCTTCGGACTTCTGGCTCGAATTGCGCATCAAAGCGCCTGCACAAACAGATGAGAAGCCTTGACTTTGGTTTCACAAGATCCAGACAAGGGATCTTACAGTGTATCTCACGTGTACCGGGCTCAGCGCGAGCCCGTCGCATGCCATGTGCCCTGGAAGTTGCAGAAGCTATAGCAAGCTAACAAGCTACCGTTGGTCGAGCTAGACAGCTGCTGCTGTATTGCCCGTTTGATGTGTTTGCCATGCCAGACCTGCCATGCTCTAGTCAAGTCTTGCTCGCCAAAGAGCTTGCAGGCTATTTATTGTACATGTTACTCTTCGATTGGCCAAGACCACTATGAGTGCTCAAGGTACTCCTTTATTGCGAGTGGCTGGTGGATCAAAGCGTATCTAAGTCTTATTTTGCAAAAGGAAACGTCAGGCATCTACCTGGTCATGCCAGCTGCTTTTTCGGAATGATGGTCTGTGCTGAGAATGCATTCGCTAGCGGAAGCTGCTCCTACCTTCTCTCGAGGTCAAAGCCAGGAGTCTCGGCAAGGCATTTTCCATCTTGCGCAAGTTTCATGTCAATAGTCCCCGTTAGGGGGGAGGAATCCTCACCTTTGGTGCTTATGCATCCACTGGTGTCTTGCCAGTTGTGGCATGCACTGTCGGAATCCGGAGTTGAAACATCGCTATGAGGCGTGGAAGCACGTGGTCGCCAGGCTGGTTGAAGCATCGTTTTGGGCCCGTCGTCGGGGCTACCCCTGATGGTCGCCCCCACCTCCCCTTACGAAGTGCACGTCTCTGCAATGCTTCTCCGTGGCATTCCGTGGCCAGCCTGGCTCATATGACTTGCAGAAATTAGCCGATCGCGCTGGACTGCTTTCGAAGGCAGACCTGACAGTGGTGTTTATCATTGACCCAGAGTTTATGGACTTGTTCTGGTCTTGGTTTATGGACTTGCCTCGGCACCTATTGACTCCGCTAGTTCAATGAGGCGTGTGATTTCGTCACTTCTGGCGTTCAGCTCGCTGGCAGGCAAGGATGGCCACTTGGATTCAAATAGATTAGGGCGAACCTTGATGAATCTTGGCCTGCTTTGTCAGGCACCCACTAGCTGATTCAAGTGTAACGGGCTGTCGCCTCGAGGCGCCTCGTACCCGACCTAACTTCTCGCGATCCAGGGTCTTGTTATGTCCTCTTGGATGATGCTCCAAGATGGTCCCACGCGCGGGCCTCCTCCCTAGAGGCCCAAAAATTGCGCATCGTCGACACCTTGTGTCGAAATGCTCGCTTATTTGGGAGATGCGGGGTTCGAGACAAATGCGCTCCCCAAGGTCCAGGCTCATCCCTTTTTGGGCGTTCGGTACCCACCTTGAAATTGATAGGGTACTTCAAAAGAGAAAGGAACGTAACTCCATGGGACATGGAGGGCTATTCATTCACGGGCTTCAAGGGTCTCTCTGGGGTCGACAGACAATGGCGTGCTTGCTTCAACATATGTGTCCCCGCAGCGAAGGCTGAGCCCATAAAGTCTGCGCTTGCGCAGAAAGGTGTCGTTAAGGCCATTTTCAGACATTTTCAGACATTCTCACCTTGTGACATGTTCCTGTTGTCGAGCTGTCTTGGAAAGTTTGAGCAGGATCCCTCACAGAAGAAAAGGGTGCAGTTGCAAGCTCCCCTCAAGCCGGAGGAGGAGAGCAACTTGAAACCGATGCTAATAGCAGTGAGCATGCATTGAATACCATTGAAACATTGCTTTGCCAGGAGGAGGATGCAGACATCCCCCTCATCGTGGCAGACGTTGAAACCCACGCTCAAGAGATAAGAGCGCTGGCAAAAGAGATCAAGGAACCATCGCAGAAGCCATTGAGCATTACAACGGCCAGTCATGCGACCGCTGCAAGCCCTGAGAACAAAACCCTGCAAGAGCAAGTTGAACAGTGACTTGGCTTGAGAAAGCCTGCAAAGTGAAGCATGCTCGACACGGCCTGGCAAGCTCAGTAGGACCTCGACAACCGAAGAATTTGCGTTGCAGGCTGGAAACTGGCCTTGCGCGATGTGTTGCAGATTTTCGTGCTCAGGCAGAAGAGGCTTGTCTTTGCCACTGTACATGCGCATCACAAAAGCCAAGACCCATTAAATCCTGTAGTTGTCTCTGCACTCAGCTTGTTCTCTCTGAAGGTGCTGATGCAGCATCTTGACAACCTTGAGGAGGTACAGCTGGCTCATGAGTTTGAGGCCAGACAGTCAATGAGAGTCAACATTTTCAGGTTGGCTTGCCATGCTCAATTTTGCGAGCAAGAGCTTTGCATGAAGGTGGCAAACTTGATGGCGGAAAACATGCTTCTCCGGGAGAAGCTAAGTCTCAAGTCAACAGAGCAAGTGCGAGACGTGCAAGACTCAGTTCTGCCAAAGTCATCTCCATTTCTTTCTTTTGTGACTTTGAAGCGGGCTGGACTCCGAGAGTATCCGAGAGTCAAGCTTGTCAAGGTGATGTTTCAAAATATGGTTCCAGAACCCAAGAAGAAGCCGCGACGGGGACAGAGGCGCGGCGCCGGCAGCTTGCTGGTTTGTTCGTCCTGCTGCGAGAATACAGCTTCTGTAAGAACTCTTGATGTCGGATCGCTAGGTCAGCTCTACTTTGTAGCCTTGCAGGAACCAATTTCAGGATGATGAAGAATCCGGGCCACAATCCTTCAAGCAAAAGCAAGATGACAAGGGCTTCCCTCCGCCTGCCGGTTAGAAGCCCAGACCTGGTGATGGGTTTGTTGTGGCGCCGGCAATGCCCACACAGCGCGTTTTTGTACTGTAAATGTATTGTAAATGTATTGAATGCATTGTTGCAATATGTTCCATATATACACGTTTGCCACTGAGGCCATCAGCAGCAAGGCCGAAATAGAAAGGGTGGTAAGAACCAACAGCCTGGAGGGAGCTGGCAAGCCTTCATGGCCTGGGTCCCCAATGGAGCTGCCATGCAGAGTCTCAGGCAAATTGAGAAGTGTATTTTGCTTTGCATCGCATCATTCCATCCTTTTGTGAGTTGCTCGATGGCTAGTGTCACGTTTGAGGCGTCGCGATTGCAACTCTACTCTGAACTTGGCTGAGGAATGCGGAGCCATGGAAGCCTTTGCCGCAACCTGACATTGCACAAGCTCAAAGTCCGCAGGCGCAGGGCAAAACAAAGAAAGAGACGCTTGTATCCAAAACCGGACAGCTTTAGCAACTAGCAACTTGGTAGTATCGCCGTGCCTATGCCTCAGGCATCTGTTCGCGTGCTTGTCAGCCTGTGCCAGCAATCCAAGGAAGAGAAATCCCACCGGGTCGGATCCTTTGGTCGTGAACTCAGACATCCTGAGAAGGTATTGCTAAGACATGCTAAGACATGCTAAGACAGTTAAGCCGAGTTCAGACATGCCTCTCGTGCAACATGCTTCTCATGGTTTCCTGAACTGCTCCAAGTCCGTGATTCCTGGCATGCCCTCGGATGACAAGCGGAAAGAAGACGATGATGACTCAGATAGCGATAGTGGCAGAAGCACCTTGGTGGGTGCAGACGTCTGTTGTTGATCGTGCCACCGGTAGTTCGCGCAGATGCCCCGCACTACCCCGCACTAGGCAAAGGACGATATTTATTTTCGACCTTGTCTGTTTGCCACCGCGGGGCAGCCGTTCTCCGAAGCACTCTAATTTCGGCCAATCTAAGGCATTTTGGCTTAGAGGATTCTGCTTAGATTGGTTTTTGGAAGCAGGAGGGGTGTGATACCAAGAGAGGCTGAGAAGAAAAGTGCAAAAATTAGCGAATGAACAAGTAGATAGCGTTTGACAGAATGAAACTAGAGAGCGGTTGTCCCGAAAGCATTTTCAAGTCACGATTCAGACCTCGCATCATGCCATCCATCCATGCATCGTCCATCACGACATCCATCGCGACATCTAACGAAGAAGCTTCACGAAGACCACCCGCCATCCCTCACGACATCCATCACGACAACGATAACGAAGAACCTTCACGAAGATCGCTATCCATCACGCCATCCGTCACGACATCCATGCATCAACGATAACGAAGAATCTTCACGACACGCCAAGAACACGCAGAGCGTTGTCGTTCGCGGACGAAAATGCAATAGCCTCCCATGTTCCAGCGCAACGACGCGTCAAGGACATCGAGAGGGTTGTCGTTCCCGGACGAAAATGCGAGCGCCTCCCAGGCGCCAGCGTCACGACACGCCGGGAACATGCAGAGGGCTATCGGACGAAAATGCGGATGCCTCCCACGCAAGTTTTTTTGTATAGTTTAATTTAAGAGGAAACCCACGAAATCCATCACGCCATCCATCCATCCATCCATCATCCATCACGAAAGCCGTCCATGCATCATCGATAACGAAGTATTTTCCCTAAGGCCCCTCCGCTGACAAACTCTGCGCCATGCTTTCGGGAATAAAGCGGAAACAAGTACAAAAATGTATAAGGACGTGCAGAAAGACAATAAGGAAAATAAAGAAGCACCGAAATAGCGAGACAAGGAAAGACATCGTCTTTTGCGTGTTGGATCTGGTTGTTGCCGTTCAAACTTGCCGCTGAGACGCAGGTCCGGTTCGCTCTGGGAGTGCCTCCGGTCCTCTGTTTTCCCCCCCCTCCTTTTCCCTGTCGCAGCTCCCCGGTTCAGTCAGTCTCTTTGCCCGTCTCGCCGTCCCCGCCTGGTTCTAGGCCTCAGCCCTCTTCGGCGCGTGTCTTGCCTTTCGACTGCCAGCCAGCTGCCAGCTGCCTCACCAGCCCGCTCCCGAACAAGCCGGATATCCCTTGCATCGCAGGGAGCACGGCAAACCAAGGCAGCCGCGGCTGGGCCAGGGCCAAGCTTGACGCTTCCACCAGCAGGCACGACAGCGGGTATGAGGACCAGGAGATTCCAAAAAAGAAGCTTTGCAACAGACAGCGCACGTGGCTTCGTCCAGAAGCGCTTCCAAAGTACCTAGCAAAAAAACTGCACGCTTGCGACTTCCTTGTTTGGGAGAAATATTGCTCCAAACCTTGGGGATCGTTGTGCTTGCCATTTGTTATTTTTACGAAAAGAAATTATGAAGTAAAAAACTTAGGGGCCCGGTGCTTGCGATATGTTGTTGTTGAAGAGAAATTAACGGAAATCAGAGACGGGCTTGCAACTTCCTCGTTTTAAAAAAAACCCCATGACATCCATCAGGATTATGGATTTCCTCGACTTCATAAAGCTGTATCAATTTCATTAAGCACCAGTGGTAAGCAACACATTCACAAACAACCCGCAAATCCACGTCGCGATTTCCTAGTTTCCTAAAAACCTATGAATTCCATTAGGTTTACTTTCTGTTGTTACAAACGAATTCGAAAAGAAAGTCGTTAGAATTAGCCGTAGAATTTTGTTCGTACTAGAATTGCCAAACTGGCATGCTGTGGAAACTAACTCGTATCTAGTTTAGAACTAGTATCATACAACGAACCTTGGTACTTCGGAGTGGTAGCAATGCTTGTTTTGAGCTTAAAGCGTTAGACCTTCATGTGGGGTGGGGGAATAACCATGCGCCCGGTACTGTCGCTGCCAAGCCACACTACCGCTTTGGGGGGTCTTTTATAAAAAGTAAGGATTGCGAAATACTCGTAGCAGCATATATGTTACGAAAAGCTCCCATACAAACAAGCGTCCACAGCATCCCCTCCCGAAAAAAGGAGATCTGTATTAATTTCTTGGCCTAAGGTAATTTGGCTGGGGAAGAGCAGTACGAGATGCTTGAGGCCGAGCGGCTTTCTTCCGGAGCACTTTTGACGTTTCTCACAGCTGCCGCGGCTCCTTTCAGGTTTGGAGAGCTTCTTCTAAGCAGATGAAGAAGTTCAAGCGGGGCAGCCACGGAGAAACTGAGAGTTCCGTGCCCTTCCGATTCTTAGTTTGCAGGAAGTAAAAGTCCGGAGTTGTGTGGGCCCACAGCAACATGTTCAGACATCTTTCATGTTCATTGAAGGTGAGGAGGAAGATGAGTATCAAGAACAGCCCCCGCATGGCTGGATCTTAAATCCGGACTCGAACATTCGAATCTCTTGGGATCTCGGTAGCTTGGTGATGGTGCTGTACGACATGGTCATGATCCCCATGCAGGCCTACACACTCCCAGAGAGCGTTTTCTTGGACTTTATGGAATGGTCAACACGTCTATTTTGGACATTTGACATTTTTTTCTCATGCATCACCGGGGTTGTCATGACGGATGGCTCGGTGGAATACAATCTCAAGATCATATTGAAGCGCTATGCCAAGACATGGCTGTCTCTCGACTTGCTGATCGTGGTTTCTGACTGGGCCGAAGTTATATTCTCCAGTGGGAGCATGGCCATGATCAACCTGGCTCGCAGCACGCGCATCATCCGAATTGTTCGACTGCTGCGGTTGGTCCGGATGCAGGAGATCATGGCCAATGTGACTGAGCGCATACAATCGGAGACCCTTGGGCCAATGGTGCAAGTCGGCAAGGTTACGATCGTGCTGCTGACGATTTCGCATTTCACGGCCTGCCTTTGGTTCAGCGTCGGCAACCGTACTACGACCGAGAATACATGGGTGAAAATAGAGAACTATGAGACTGCCGGTGTTGATGCTCAGTACTTGGCTTCCTTACATTGGGCACTATCCCAATTTTCAGGCTTGACTCGGCGCTTTGAAAGCAGTTGGCCTGCATAGTAAAGTATGTAAAAGTATGTAAAGTGCAGAAGCGACCAGGTGGCATGGACGAGATCACACCCGCGTCTTCGTTGGAGCGGCTTTTCGCAGTGGGCATCGGTGGCTTTGCTTGGAATGGAGAGGGCTTAAGTCGAATATCGCAGTGTTTTCGTCGCAGCATGCTGCAGCTGAGGCACCTGCATCTTCGTTATTGCGCTGGTCATGATGGGTGTGTTCACCTCTGGTCTGACACAGCAGTACATCATAGGTGGCAGTGGAGCCCGTCAGCTGGCCACTCTAAAGAGATATCTGAAGCAGAACAATGTCTCTAAAGTCATTACGAAGCGAGTGTGCCGAAATGCAAAGCATGCAATTTCCGGCGATTTGACTCCAGAGTCAGTGGAGTTGTTGCAAGTCATCTCAGAGCCCCTGAAAGTGGAGCTGGCTTTCGAGCCTTGGACTTCTCTGGCGACATGCGCATGGGTGCGGGCGTCATGTGGGCATCCTGTGGGCGTCCTGTGGGCATGGTGTGGACGTGTGGGCGTCGTGTGGATTAGGTGTCGTCCCTTTTGGCAGGCTCAAGTATTGGGATTGTTCATGTCAGCGTGCCAACGGTTCTATTGTCACAACCACATCGTGATGGTTAGGAAGCCGATCATAGCGTTTTGCATCATCCGATCTTTGGAAACAGTAGAATTAGCGAAGACTATCAGAGGGAGGATTGCGCGAGTGTGTTGCGTGTTCACGCAGCCCAAGAGAGAAATCAACTTCATGCAGCCGAGGACATGTACTCGCAAGTCCTCATGTGGCAGCCCTTCTTTCTGGAGCTGCTTTCGGAGAGCTCCCCGATCATGAAGCCGATTTGCCACAGAGTGCAGGCCTCAGAGGTTTCCGAGTATCGGGAAGATGGGATGGATGTGTCTGATGAGTCTCACCTCCGTTGACCAAGGCAATGTCAATGCTGTTGCTTTCCAGCACCGACATCATCTTCAATTTGGGGGAGGAGCCCGCCGAACCGAAAATGTACATAGTTGTGTCAGGTACCTTGGAGTACACGGACTCGTATGGCGAAATTGCCCCGGCCGCTTGCTTCCATGGCAAACTTTCGGCATCAAGCACGATATGGTGGAATCCATGTAAGCATCCTCAATGTGAGTAGGTTGACAGTGAAAAGCTTAGTGCCATGTGCGAATACTTGCCATAGCAAGCGTGGATAGGAGACTGCAAGAAAGGTTGGCGAGAGGCGGTACTTAGCCGAAGCCGTTCTTTGGACACATTGGAAACACCGGGGAACTTTGACCGCTGTGAGTGATGCGAAACTGGCTATGTTGCCTGGCTGAATTGTCATGAATGGTCGAGGCCAGTCTCCGATTCGCACAGTCGTAGCCTGGCCCAAGGCTTGATGCGCAGGGCTTCCGGGACATCTGTCAAAGGTTTATGAGAAGAAGCGAGGCGGCGCTGAGGACCTTAGTCGCGCATTACTAAACATGTTGGTTGTGAAAGGTTGATTCGTGGGCATGCCGGCACGACTTGGTCAGCTTTTTCCACGATATGTCGTTCGTTTTAGGAGTCTAGATCTTTTCATGCGACTGTGATTTTTAGGTTTCTTGTCTTGCTTCTTCTCGCTCTCCTTTTGGGCTGCCGTGCCTTCCTCTTCTGCGTCAGTAAACTCAACCCTCAGGGCAGATATGGGCAGATTGAGGGGCAAATCGGGGCGTTGGGAAGGTGGAGTGGCACTGGGCCCCAAAGCAGTTGCCTGGCAAAATCTTGCCAATAAACGATAGTGCCCCGTACTTCACGACACGGCGATCCACAGACACCTGTCCCCGGACGTTACTTTTCTGGCGATCTTCCAGCCAGGAATACAGGGAGGGGTGCAGCTGACCCTGAAGGAGCAAGTCGAAAAATGCACTTGCCCAACAATGGTTTTATTCTCGCCGTACTGTTCGTCAAAGAACTTGTTGAATGCCCATCTTGTCACACTCACATCGCTGTTTGCGATGAGGATTGTGCGGTACGCCTCGGATTTTGTGGATGAGTTGAACAAGCAAGAGTTCAAGACAGATCTCGGCAAGTGATTGACCGCCTTTCCACCACAGAGCTCAGACCTGATGCTTGTACAGATTGCACTTCTGAGCTGTGAAATGATGGACGCCGTCTCTGGGCCTGGAACAGCCTGCCAAGAGACTCATGTTATACGTGCTGCCTGAACCACGAGCGCTGACAGCCTGGCAGAAAATTGCTTGCTGCCGCGTCCAGGACTGAGGCATACACACAAAGTGTGCAGATGTCCACAGTCAGGTGAGGGTCCCGTGATATTGCTTAGCTACCATGAGCGGTAGCACATCAGCGCCACCCGGCATGCCAAGAAACGGTGGCCTCCTCCGCGCGTAGTGATGGGGAGGGATAAGGTGTACTGTACGGTAGCATATCCACATGCTGGGTGTTGTAGTCTCACAGTTTTTTGCTGGCTGTTTGATCTGATCTTTCAAAAAGTTCAGCTTCGCACCATGCCACCCGGGCACTGCCCGCCTGGTTCCCTTTTCAAGGCAGTGCAGATGTTACACAGAAGTGACCGTGACAAGTGGCTGCAGTCAGTGCCTTGAGCCTGTTTTCCAGAAATTGAGAACTGCACTGCGATAGCGAGCTCAAGAAGCATGTCAGGAAGCCGCCCTGTGCGAAGTCTCATAGTCTGCCAGCTGAATGACCGAATAGAAGCTGAGCCAGCTTGGCTGCATGCCGTGGCAAGATATTTTGTGCTTTCATCCGCAGCTTTCAAGAGGTTCAGGCGCAATGGATGCCTTGGGCATGGACTGCAAGCGGCGCTGCTTGCAAGGTTTTTGATGGGCACATCCAAGCAGATACTGGAGTGGCCGTCAGATGACCAAGATGACGTGGACCGCATCCAAATGCTGGGGCAGTTGGCATACGATCTGACTGTTCCACTCTTAGCACATGTGCAGACATGTGCAGACATGTGCAGACATATGCAGACTAGGTGTTCGGCAATTAGTTTGTGGCTTTGTTCAACTGATTCAACTGAGGATGCTGTCACTCGGGATGGATGGTGTTGCATTCGTATGAATGATGATGCCTTGGTGCGGGATGCTGCCATTTTGGAAGCCAGGTCACTCTCCAACTTCGCCCTTTGTCAGAAAGTTCAGCTCCAGTTGGTGCGGAGCATGACGGACTGCGTCGGTTCTTGAGCATGTTGTTTCATGTGGAGCTGGCTAAAATGCGTGTAAAGCTGCGCACCGCATTGCCTTCGTGTACACCGGAATGTCCCCATCGTGCTCAGATTAAGATCATGGACGACACTCTTGTCCCATTGGCCCACGCAAATTCTAAAGCTTTTATACGTATTATCCTGAACACTTTGCTCGGGCCTGCCATGTTGATGGTTTCTCCATCTGCTTGTTTGATCTCTGCACTTTGTCAATTGTTGTTGCCTGTTGCTAGACATGCCTCATCCATCCCATGCGTAGCAGTGACAAGGCCACTGCCTGATCGAGATTTCTGATGCGTTTAACCCTGACCTACTGTAGAAGCGCTCAGGAGGCCCTCTCGTACCATCCGCTTCGTGTTCAGGGGAGGGTCGTTGGACCGTCGTTGAGTTGTCGGCTCCTACATGCATCTGCGTCCTTTGATGTTTTTGGCTCTCTTCGCAAGTTTGACCAGCTGGATCCAGGGTCTCAAGCGCTTACTTTGGGCAATTGCTCATCTTCGCTGCTTTGCCTGGATGTGCTTAGGCGAGTCCGCGTGCCGAGCTGATGCCAGATTTCTTCGGGCAGGATGGCTCTGGAAAAATGGCAACTCTGCAGGACTCTTCCGGACAAAGTGTCTTGCTTGCACGTATCTGTACCCAGAAAAAAAGGAAGTGCATCACTGCTCCCGGATTCTAAAGCATGAAGCATTATGAACAAAAGCAGTCACGTTTCGACCTAAGGCGTTGCCAGTGCTTCTTGGGCCCTGTCGGAGCTTGATGCCGAGCTGACAGCGCTTTGCAAAGTCATGGCACCGCTGTCGGCGCAAGCGCTCGGCTTCACTTGTGCTGGACGGAGGAAAGGCTTGGTGTGGATGCCTTTCGCAGACCAGGAGGAGTCTGACAGGCTTCGCCCACAGCCCTTAACTGAAGAGGACACCTTCCACAATGTTGTCTAGGTTGCATCTGGCCAAACTTCATGTGCAGTTCATCGGTTGCCTGGGATTAATTGTAAACGCTTGCGTATCTTGCGTCGTCGGCTCGACAGCCGGGCTGGCCCAACGCAGGGTGTACTGTGCATCGCAGACGAAGGAAAGCGGAGGGTGCCCGGAGGCTTCCCAGAAAGGGTGCCAGTTCACAGGAAAGCTCGAGAGACTTGCATTTCCAGCACTTGGCCCGGGGGCGTACAGAAATTTTCGGTTTGGCGGGAAGCGGGGATGGAGTCCAGATCGTGGTCTGCTTGTTCTAGACGCCTTTCGGCCGAGTCCAATTTCCAAAGTGCTAGTAGTGCAGCTTGCAAGAAAAAAACACATCAGACACCATAAGAACTTGCGATTGCCCGAGCAGGATGTGGACGCAGGCGTGCTAGAGAATCATCTGCAATTCATCCAAAGAAGAAGGCTATGCCTGATGCGGTGGATTGCAAATGACGGTGGTGTTCTGGAGCTCTTGCCAAGACCAGGTCAAAGCGCTTTCAAGGCTATGACAATTCCAATAGTGGAGAATCGGCTGCTAGTTTTCCGAAGCGATTTGTTCAGCTTTTCTTACAAGCCACTTGGAAGAGGCTCCCTGGCACTGATGACATGGATTCTTGACACGGGGTCGCAGGCTGCGCGACAAACTGCCAAAGGCTTCTTTGGCGTGGATGATGCACTTCAGCACTCCGAAGCTCTTGGGATTTTTGTGGGTCCTCCTATGCCAACTGGCTACAGAATGCATATTATGGCCATGCACACCCACACGCCGGGTGGATCACACGACTTGGATGGGTTTGAATGCATGTTAACGTCTGGTGTTGATGGTTTCATTCACATTCCGGCTACAAGGTTTGATACAGAGGTATACTGCTGCCCAGAAGGAGAAAAGTTTCCTGGCCAAAGTTATGTCAGACATGCCGCCATGATGTCGGACCAGGACCGTGGCACGCAACTTTCCTAAGCACCTCCTTTCGGGTTTATCATGCACATGCTCGTCCTTTCCGGCTTCTGGTGGCATAAACGTCAGTTATACTCATGTGTGAATTTAGCGGCTCTTGTATGCATGCAAACTCATCAGGAAATCACGTGCTTTGACAACAATTTCTTTGGAATTCGGGAAGATGAAGTGAAGACGATGGCGCCAAACCAACGCCTAATCTTGGAGGATGGCTACGCGTGCCTGCGGAAAGCTGGCTTCGACCGCAAATCACTTGCGGGCCGAAATACCGCTGCTTTCCTCGGTGATACGGGCGCGGACTGGGATCCCTTCTGGCAGATTAAGGCTCTCGAGAACCCCAGGAATCCCGGTCGTCCTGTGCCATATGGGAACTGTGAAGGCAGCCACCTCACCTACGGCCAAACACTCAGTTTTCCCAGATCATCCTTTTGTATTTCCCCCACCCTCCCCAACCAGAGTATCTCTAGCCAGAGAGGGTGAGGATGTTCGAAGTAGAATAGTCTTTCGGTTTGCTTTTCGGTTTGTTCAGCGCGGTGCGACTCCTTGACCCGTCACAGTCCGAGCAGACCTGGAGATCTGTTTTGTTTGCATCGCTCATCAAGTCCATTGTCAACACCGTCTGGAAAGGACCAAGAAGGACCAGGTAGGACCCGCATCTGAATGATTGCGACGATATGACATGGAGTCGTGGAGAGATGATCTGAACAGACAACGCAAGGGAACCAGGAATAAATCGCTGTTTGAAGCCGAAATGAAGATAAGATTGGATGCAATGCGCAGTTGATCGCAAGCCATGTCGGGTTTGCCTTTGTAGTCTTCCGCTGTACCAAGGTGGAGTCTCCAAGGCAGTGTCTGCTGGAAGACTGTCACATGTTTTCGGACTCTCTGGTGGTTCGACCAACATCGATACAGCTTGCTCTGCTTCATTGGTCGGTGTCTCCACAGCCGTGCAGGCCATGAGGAAGGGCAGCAGTGGACAGGTGAAGCCAGTAGCAGACAAGCACAACTTGGATGCTCTGTGCATGGGCATCAACATGCTGACTAGTCCCTGGCCATTCATCGGTCTCTGCGGCCCGTCGATGCTGGCAGCAAAGGGCCGATGCTTCACTTTCGACGTCTCTGCAGAGGGCTACGCGCGAGGAGATGGTTTCGGTGCTGTTTACATCAAGCCGAGCGACAATGATGAGGATTACCTCAATCAGCCACTTAAGCCAAGAATGAGTCATCGCATACATCACTAACACAGTGGCCGGATCCCGTGCTGCGCTCACGAAAGCGTTCCTTGAAGCCATCTTTCTTGTTTACAAGCCTCCTTCTAGCTTACAAAGATCAATGTAGCCTTATGGGTCGAGAAATCGAGGACAAAGGAAGTCACCTCTATGGGGGGAAGGGACAAAGCGGTCCCACTTGCCTTCCGACTCAACTGGGGTAAAGGGGCGAAACGGTCTCGACTTCAGCCTCGCCGCGCGTTCCTTCAACACACATTTGGGGGAAAGGGTGACAGTGGCGAAAATGTCGCACATTCTCGCATTGTCCATTCCGACACATCTGGGGGAAGGAGCGAACAGTTTCCGAATTAAGCCTTGCCCGCACATGCCTTCCAACACACTTGGGGGTAGTTCTTTTCACCGATGCAGGCAGATAGGATATCTGCGGCTCCCTCAACAGAGGGGGGATTCCACGTGCATCTAAACGTCTATGCCTGGCCACAAGCATGTCACGTGTGCCTGTCACTTGGTGGCCCTGGGTCGTGCTCTTTCGTCATGGCAGCTTTGCTTCATGGAATTTCGTCTTGGAATGTGTTCGACAAACCGAATTTAATTAGAGTTGACTTGCGGTTAAGGGCACGGACACGAATGGAAGAGGCATTGGTCAGCAGAAACGCAGATGCACATGTGGACACTACTGCCTCAGGGTTCGTGTTTCAGGTTGTCGGAGGCCCCTCATGGAGAATCGCGTTTTTTTGTGTAGGGGGTTTTTGGGCTCGAAGAATGACTTTAGAAACAGACTTCTCCGAAAACACGAGAAACAACCTCAAATCAAAGATTCCAAAACTAGGGGCTCTAAAGTCTCCAAAGAACCAGAACGAGGGCATCTCTCAGCTTTCCAGAATGTTTGAAGCTGCAGACAGACAGGCACAGATAGTGACAGAAAGAAACAGACAGGGACAGACAGGGACAAATAGAGACAGAGAGACGGACGGCACACACCGACTGCGTGACTCGGGCGCCCGTGCGCGTCGGTCAGGGTCACCGTCCCTGGCCCCCAAGCCGAAGAGGAAGAAGAAGAAGAAGCAGAAGAAGAAGAAGCAGAAGAAGAAGAACCAGAAGAAGAAGAAGAGAAGAAGAAAAGAAGAAGAGGAAGAGGAAGAGGAGAATGATAGCAACAAAATATACAGAAGCTTGGACACCCCCTGAGGTGTTAGCTAGAAGTTTAGGATTGCACGTTCTGCACTGAAGGACCAATCCCGTTGCGGTCGTACTTGTTGCGATCGCTTTACTGAGGCTTTGCTGCCTGATGGGCGCCTACGTCAACCAAGATGGTAGAAGTGCAACGCTCACAGCTCCCAACGGCATGGCGCAGCAAGCTTGCATTCGCGAGTCCATGCGTGAGGTGGAACGACTTGTGGGCTAAGAGCTAGGATAATATTTTCAAGCACTAGCTGAGAAACTCCTTTCTGTTTCATGAATGCAAAAGAGATCAAAAGAGCACTCACAGAGGCCATGGTGGCTGCCAGCCAGATCACGATAGCTGAATGCCATGGAACCGGGACAGCTCTCGGAGATCCGATTGAAGTTGGTGCCCTGAGAGGGGTCATGGAACCGCGAGACACTCCATTGCTTACAACGAGCGCAAAGTCCAACATCGGGCACACAGAAGCGTGTGCAGGAATGATCGGTCTTATCAAATGTGTCAGCATGGTGTCCAGATCAGCAGCGGATCCGAATTGCCATCTGAACTCGCTGAACCCTCACTTGGATGTGGAAGGCTTTCCATCTTCGTTTGAGACAGAATCTGTTGAAACCCGTCTCAACAGCAACTACGCTGGAGTGTCGTCTTTTGGCTTCAGTGGAACAAATGCTCGTGCAGACGTCTGGAGCCAGTGCAAGTCAGGTCCTAGAAAGGCTTGGAGGGTTCAGCACTCAATCTTTTGTATTTGTAAACTTTCAGCTGCATTGCATGCATGTTCTTAGAAAAGATTCTTGCAACGGTATTTCGACAAGCCCTGTCGTTCAACGCAGATATTGCCCCACGGCCAGTCGTTCTCTCGAAAGACTTTGCAGGCCCGTTCTCGGCTGGACATCTCGAAGGCGGATCAGGTGCACTTGCGCTGCCCTATCACTCTTGGACTCATCGAGGCAACAACTGGAGAGCCGGTCACAGAATCCTTCAAAAAACGCCGAGGATACAAGGCTGAACTCGACAAAACTGAGGCTGTTCTTGCCCTTATATGTTTTCAGGCTTTCGAGTTTGGGGTCACGTGGGTCAATGCGCGTTGCAAGCGTGACTTCACGGTTGTTGCTTGTTGCATGTTGCAGGCTGATGTCCTTCGCGACGAATGGGCGCCTTATGACATCTCGTCGCAGGTGTACAATGGAGGGTTTCGCTATCGCCGCCCTGTCGTGCAGGCCAGTCAGTGCCGCTGTGCACGCCCGAATTCGGCAGCATTGCGCACCTCTTTCTCGGGGTTTGCCTGTCCCTGCAACTGGAGGATGAGGAGGACTCAGACTTCGAATCTGATCTCTACATTTTGGGATCCTGGAGCGGATGGACTAAGATGGAGCCGATGGAACGCAAGGGATCAGGTTGCTTGTCTAATCATGCTTGAGGAGCCTTGTGTTCTGCACGTCAACACGTGTGCTTCTGCTATAGGTTCTTCTTCGAGCATGTTGGGGCGTTCCGCAATACTGCTGCTTCTTCTCATGGCCAAGGACTATTTGTGGCACCCGTGATTTTGGGTGAGACTCGATGCGAAATGTTCCGACTCTGTGCGGACATGGACCAATCCATGGCGATTTATCCGATCATCAAGGTGCTTCTTTTTCAGCTTTTCAGGTCGACTTGCGCCTGTTTTGACTCCTGTCGCTGTGGTTCTTGTGAGAGCTTTGCACTTCACAGGATGCATCCAGCAAGATCTGGATTGAGGGTCCAGATGCCAAGAGCAATGGTCGTTATTGGCTGATCGATGGGCGCGAGCTCGACATGCCGAGTGGGACTCTTTGCGAAGTTGCTTTTCAATGGGGCCCCGAGATTAAAACGATTTCCTGGAAGCAGGCGCGCGAGTAGATCAACATGTTCTGAATCTGAACCATGTCGTTTGATGTCGTTTGATGTCTTTGCCTGCTGGCAGGTTGGTGCTGCTATTGCTGCTGACCACCACATGGTTGAGCCTTTCGCGCACAGCTACAGCCTGACCGGAAGCTTTACGTCTGGGCACTTCCAAGAAATGCGCAGTGTTCACAGTGGCACCTGGGAGGGCGGCTTCCATCTGGGAGTGTCAGGCGAGGAAGACTTTCAGATTGCGAGGGCGCCTTGAAAGGTTTCATATGACTCAGTTTTAAAAGGTTTTCTTTGTCACATCCAGCTAGATGTGTGTTTTGTAGGATTCTGTTTTTGGCTACTTGTATGGCTACTTCGACTTTCAGGATGGTGATCTGAATCAGTTGATCTACCCGGCAAAGAACGGAGCAATTAGAACTACAGTTCCCGTGCGTGGACCAGACAGCCTCGGACACGGTAAATACTGGCGCATTCATGGAATGCCGAATGAGGACATGAAAGTGATCCTGGAGGTTGTCTTTGGCTTAGTGTTTCGTGGCTTGTGTTGTTCTGTACAGTGACTTTATATGCTGCACTTGTTGCTGATCCATTCGTCCGTAAGGTGGAGGGACACGTCAAGGTCACCGTGTCATCAGAAGTCAGAGGAGACAAGACGTGGGAAAGCGAAGATGGCTGGGCGCGCCATAGCTACTTTGCCTATGCCTCATGGAGCGGCTGGGTGTGGGCCTCAGACGAATTTCTATCTCCTGCTTCGGTTCGCAGATGTCATGAGTGTCAGTCTAGTGGCCAGGTCCCTGTCCAGATGGTGGCGGATCCCTGCGAGCCTGGTATTTTCAA